ACGGACTGAGCTGTTGAATTCAACCAAGTCTGCACTTAGTGGGGAGACGGTTACATCAGAGACTGGTTCTGTTGGTAGAAAAAAGAAACTCTCAAAATAAAGCAGTCATTTAAAATATGGAAAAACAATCAGCAGGATCAAATTTAGTTGATATTTCTTCTTTATTCAAGCCAATGCATTTTTTAGAATTCTGTGTTTGCTCTTTAATAACAATATTAATAATAATATTAAACTTAATATTCATTTAAAATAGCATGGTACCATATTTCCTCTTTAAACAGAGAAGATAATGTATTGTTTTTTCATATATAATCTTTTAATAAATAAAATCTAACAGAATGTCTGACAGGTATACCTTGGTTGGAACAAAGGGTTTGATATTTACAGACTATTTTTGATTATTCACCATACTTATATGACATTATAATTGGAGAACATTAGAGCCCTTTCAGTGGTGAATACATTGGATGGATGAAAGCAGGGGTCTAAGATAAAATGCAACCAAAAGTCAATTTAAAATATTGTAAATTAATTGTATTAATTTGGTTTACCATTAACTCACCAAATATACCCAGAGTGGTATCTCCTATCTTTTGTTGCTCTCCAGCAGGATAAATGACGACTCTGTATCCTCCACTGTCACTGAGTTTCAGATCCCTGAGCTCCAGAGATCCAGTAGATATGAAGAGGGTGATTCTACCTTCATATTCTGGTGCAGTTATGTTTGAAGTAGAGTCTGAGGTTATTATCGGCTCAGCTGGTGAACTACCAAATTGCCAGTTAACCAACGTAAAAGGTGTTTCAGTTGGATTCAAGTTTGTTTTTATCAATACTTTCCCTCCAACAACAGCATTGAGTGGACCATCTGGTAAGATACCACTTCCTGTAGATAAACCTGGAGGAACCAAAAAGAATAATAACCAAACGATTTAAAAAGTTTGAAAATAAAACCTGATGCAACAACAAATATAAAGAGCTTGAAACTGAAAAACTGAAGTTAAAATCTTCAAACTACATGATCAAATTGAGCCCAGTTAATTTTTTTTTTTAAGTAATAAAATCATTTATTGGATTTATCAAACAGTAAACACTCACCTGCAATAACTCCAAGGATAATTAAACACCCTATAGGAATTTCCATCTTTTTCCAAGTTTTACAAAAATGTTTCTTACTCCAACTGTCCTGATTCTATGTTGCTGAAGCTATCTGACAACAGATGTACAAGGAAGTTAAAATGCTTAATGACTGAGGAGCACCTTTACCAACACTTATAAATCATTTACAGGTTCCTGTTTTCCCCTTCTCTCAGCATGTTGCACTTTAAACCTAACCTAAAAATCCATATTTAATAGAATATATGAATACAGTGTTTTAAAATGAATATGTATTGATAATTATTTTAAAAATGGATGTTTCTGTCTTACACATAATAAAAAAAACATAAATTAAAATATAGTTACAAAAAATAATTTTTATATGTAGGATACTGGAAAACAGCAGATAAATCTATTCCAACCACATAAGATGGAAATGTTACAACAGTATCTTTTAGATTAGATTAGATTAGATTAGATGAGCTTTATTGATCTCACAGCGGAGAAATTCACTCGTCACATATTGGCATAGAAGTTACATAAGGTGCAAACAGGGAGGAAAAAGGTGCATTAAGAATAAGGAATATATATACAGTATATCCAGGTATAAACAGTATATTTATATACACCACCAAAATACATTAAGTGGAACGTAATATTAAAGAAAGGTATGATATAAAAATACAAAATGAATACATGAGCTTTCTACTTTAGTTACATTTACAATAGGCTACTTTTGCATTATGTTGGATAGCACGCCGTTATTTAATCTAACTTGTTTTTTATAATGCCTCCAGATTCTCTTAGGGAAGGCAGAAAATATATGTCCCTTGCTCCTTGAAAGGACTCAATAATTCAATTTCTAACCTTTTTGGAACATTAATAAACATTTTCTGTTTACAGTAGACTATAACTTTTTGATAACTTCTCATCAGCCAGCCTTATATATATATATGTATTTATTCTTCTGTAGCCTACAGCACTCAGGTCAGCTAGGGTTGTTTTAAATAGTGCTTAAAAAATAAAATTGGTTTGGACTGGAAATTACCAATCCATGTGGGGAATTGTTGTAAGTTTATAACTATTTTTACTATTGCATCATCTTCTTCTTCTCCTCTCTAGTGTAGACTGATTCATAGATGAAACTTCTCTGTTTAGAGTGCACAGAATATATTTACCAGAGGAGGGCGCTCTCTGACATCTATTTCAGTCAAACACTCAGACCTGCTGTAAATTTTCAGGGCAGCTCTCTCTACTGTGAACATTTACAGCATTCGTGTTAACTAAGATTCAGAGCAGAGCTTCTTTTAGTCTTTGTTTGAGAGCTGAACTGTCCTGTAGTTAGACCTCAATATTTTATTCAGTGCCATGTTACGACTACTTTTTATCGTGGCTGTGGGTTTTACAGGTAGGATTCTCCTTTAATGAAAAATGTCAAATGTTTGAACGAAATTCAACCTTAATCAGCGTTTTGTTCTTCAAAGAGCTGCCAAGTTAGACTGAATAATCTAA